ACTCTAAGCGTTCAGAAGCGATTTGGTTGGTTTGGACTATAATTTCTGCGGGAAATATGTAGTGGTTTGGTCGGTTTTTATAACGACTAAGTGAATATTTTTGGTACATACTTAGATGATTTTATACATTTTGTTTAACTAAGAATTCATTCTTTATTTGTGTTTTATAGTAGCAAAATGTCTTAAACTAAGAATATTGTTGAAATCGTAATAACCCAATGGATTTTTTTCGGGAAAATGTTTTGGAAACACTGTGTTCTATTTTGTATGAATTTTTAAATGTTTTTAGTGACAATTTTTGTGGTTGTTTTCGATACACATTAACAGTGAGAAACAAAGTGAAAAATTAAAATAATCGAAAATTCGAAAAATTGAGAAATCTTGTAAGCGAAAAATCGAAACCTTAAAAAATCGTAAAACCGAAACATTGAAATATCGAAGAACTGAAAATCGAAAAATAAAGCATCAGAAAATCGAAAAAATGTAAAATTCAAAAATCTAAAATTTAAAAACCGAATAAGGAAAAATCGGGACATCGAAATTCCCAAATTTAAAAAACCGGATAACTGAAAAATCGAAACATCGAAAAACTGGAAAATCGAAAAATCAAAAGATCAAAAAATCGGTGAGTTGAAAAGTCGAACAATTGAGAAACCGAATAGGCCAAAATCGAAAAATCGAAAAGTTAAAAAATAAACTGAGAAATTGACAATCAAAATATCGAAAAATCCGAATCTCGATAAATCGAGAAATCAAAAAACTTAAAAATTCAAAAAATTAAAAAATTGAGAGATTGAAAGATGAAAAGAACGAGAAATCGAAAAGTGATGAAGTCGAAAATCGAAAAATAGAGAAATCGACAAACAAAAAGTTAAAAGTTGAAAAATTGGAAAAGCGTAAAAATCAAAAAACAAAAAAATGGAAAACTGGAAAAACTGAGAAACCGAAATAGGCCAAAACAAAAAATTGAAATACTGATCAATCGAAAACCTGAACAATCAAATCTCGATAAATCGGGAATGAAAAATTAACAATGCGAAAAATTGAAAAACAGAACATCTAAAACCAGGAAGTCGAAATATAGAAAGATTAAGAAATATTGAAAAATTAAAATATCAAAAGATTGAAAAATCTAAAATTTAAAAATCCAAAAATTGAAAAATCGAAAAAATAAAAAGGTAGACACATCGAAAAATCCAGAAGTCAAAAATAGCAAAGCCGAAGAATTGAAATATTGAAAAATCCTAAATCTGAAATATCTAAATACTGAAAAATCGAAAAGTCAAAAAAGTGAAGTCTAAAACTAGAAACCTTAAAAAATCGAAAAATTGAAAAATCAAAAACCTGAAAAATCAAAAAATTACAGAATGGAAGAACAGAAAAATCGAAACATTCGAAGGTCATGAAATCGGAAAATCAAAACATCGATTAATTGAAAAATCGAAAAATTGAGATTTTATAAAAGTCAAATTTGAAAAATTAAAAAATCGAAAATTTGACAAAATGACAATTGAAAAACAGAAAATCCAAAACCGGGAAGTCGAAAAATCAAAAGATTAAGAAATCGAAACATTTGAACAATTCGAAAACTTGGAAAAATTGAAATATCGAAGAACTGAAATGAAAAATCGAGAAATCGAAAAATCTAAAATTTTAAATATTGAAAAATTAAAATACCAAAAAATTGAGGAATCTAAAATTTAAAAATCGAAAAGGTAAAAAGTCGACACATCGAAAAATCCAGAAGTCAAAAATGGAAAAGTCGACGAACAAAAATATTGAAAAATCCCAAAACTCAAATATCGAAAAACTGAAAAATGAAAGAAAAACTGACGAATCGAAAAACTGAAATATCCAAAAACTGAGAATCTAAAGAATCGAAAAACTGAGAATCAAAAAAGTAAAGTCGAAATATCGTTATCGAAACCTTTAAAAAAATTGAAAAATCAAAAACCTGCAAAATCGTAAGATGCAAGAAACTGAAAAATCCCAAAACTGAAATGTACAAAAACTGAGAAATTAAAAAACTGAAAAATTGAGAAATCGAAAAATCAAAGAAGTGAAGTTAAAAAATCGAAACCTGAAAAAATAGAAAAATTGATTAACCAAAAAACTTGAAAAATCAATTAATTGAAAAATCGAAAAATAAAGAGTTTATAAAAGTCAAAAATTGAAATATTTAAAAATAACATTGAAGAGAAAAATGAAAACCGAGAAATTGAAAAATTGAGAAATTGTAAAATCCAAAAATTGAATAATAAATAGGAGTAAACTGAAAAGTCCCCAAACTTAAATTTCGAAAAACTGAGACTTCGAAAGTTGAAACAGCAAGAAATTATGGTCGAAACCGGTTAGGATGTGTATCAGATCACGGATCATGGCTTATAAATCAAATCGTTTCCGAACACTTAGAGTCGACATTGGCCTGAGTGCGCTCTGGTCTGTAAATCAAACAAGTTCTCAGACGACGAACTGTAATTCGTGTGACCTGAATTAAAGTGAAGGAAACAGTAAGCAGCTTGAACATTCTGGTAAATCTAGTGTCAATTTGTCGAAGGTAAAACGCTTCCTTAAAAAAATTATGACATTTTTTCTAGTTAATTTTATTCCTAGTTAGAAACAAACACTCTTGCCAACATAAGTCGAGGAGTCCTCAACCGTCATTTAATTTAAACTATGACGCTTCTCTATGTTCTCTGGTATTACACTGCACCAATCCAAACTGATAGATGTGTCTTTACAAAAATGTTGACGACGTCACCACAAAATTGTGTAAAGTAAAAACGCATCTCGAAAATGCTGAATATGTTTCATTCTACGTTCGGTGCGAGTGAAGTTCTGTCGAAACAACGTTCGACCAATTTTTTTAAACCTATGTATCGGATTTTGATAGATCATTAAATTACGACTTCAAAAATATAAAACACTTAGATGTTTGTCATTTTTAGTTGATAAAAAAAATTACATTTCTAAACAAAAAATGAAAGTTGAGTCAAATAAAGGAGTACCACCATTTCATGACAATTTGAACATACGAAAAATAACTACTTTTGAAATAGATTTTGTTCATTATACAATAAAGTGTAATTGCTTTATTCACTCAACTTTCACTTTTTAATATTTATAAATTTTACTTTTTTCATCAACTGGAAATTACCTTAAATAAATATCTAAGTGTTGTATATCATTGTAACCATAATTTAATGGTCTATCAAAAAATTAAAAAAATTAAATTGGAATTTAAAAAAACAGGTTTGCGTCGTGACGTCGCCGTCGACACCATATGTGTACATACGTATATTTTCTCTGCAAAGTTGATGATCTATTTCACTAAATAATGAAATAAATCTTCACTATTTCAATACGCTGAGAGATGTTACTGCGTGTGCTTTAATATAATATTCTATTTTAACTATTATAAGAAATATTTATGCTACATGAAAAAAAAAAATTGGATTAATGCATTCTAGATACTTACAAACAGAATTTTGCCATTAAAAAATACTGAATATTCTTTGGAAGTGACTTTGTATATTACATTTAGAATAGAATAGCGTTCATATTATTTTATTTTCCACGATTTTTTGTTTTCCGTTTTAATTAAGTTTTGTCATTTCTTTATTTAAATAAAGTACCTCCTTTATTGGTTTTTGAAACAGTTAATTCACATATTCCCATCCCCACGCAACTCATAAAGAAATGAGAAAGGTAATATTGTGGGTTAATTTAGTAGATCGTACTCATAAATATCCTTTTTTTGGTTGTACTGGTAATTCATGTTTGTCAGTATGTTTGAAATTTTAAGATGTAAATTAATTCATGTACCTCTAGTAAATTTCATTTCTTTTTTAGATCGAGCTATGGCAGGAATACCAGGTATATGTAGGCACTTAAAATATAAAAAGAGATGATAAAAAATAGCTACATATATGATATTACCGCTGTTCTCCAGAAATTTCAACGCAAAAAATGTATACTGTGCGTTTTTCCAACTCCTGTTTTTAAAATGTTTAACCGAAATTGGGTTGTCATTTTTGAACGAATAATGACATAAAAACCATTCTACATTATAATGCAACTTTAATAAATATATGAAACCGTTTTTGAAGTTCGATTATCGATTTTATCCTTAAAACACAAAATATAACTTTTTTAGTGTTTACCAACGCGCACGTTACCCATTCAGTAACTAAATTACAAACAAAAAGGTGTGATGTAAATTTTAAACGACGTCAGAATTGAATGCCATGCTTAAATCATTATCATGAGCGTGCAAAGGCCATAAATTTTTCTTTTATGTAGAAAAAACCTCACATAAATTTCTGCAATCAATTGCAAAGCTTTTATATAAAAATATATTACAGTGCATGAGGTTGACTAAGAAAAACAGTTACCATTATAAATTTTATCACGTCGTGTCGCAATGAAAAAATGAAAAATGCGTGCGTTTGCTAGAATTTGCTTTCTTAAAAGCGGAAGTTGCGAATTATTATTATCCTTTGGCAAGTTTCCACGTTTTTCTGATACACAATTTACTTGTTAATTTCTTCTATACTTCCAAGCTAACGCCATAGTAACCAACAATGAAGTGAACTCTTCAAAGTTCCTCGCTTGTAAGCGCAATAAAAAGACTTCTTTACCTACGATATTTTTACTTTATTGCTGGACGGTGTTGGAGTCGTTTGCATACGTTTTCAGCTGAAGCTTATTTCATCTTTAATGGAATCATATTTTATGATGTTTACTCGATCATAAATAATAAATGAATATCTGATAAAAAATTATTCATATCTGCGTGATAATGGGTTTAATAATGGATAAACCCACAACATGTCTGTCAATCTAAAATGTTAAGAACAATGCAGAAGACAAATTTGGAAAAGAAAGCATACATATACGAGGCAACACTTAACACAATGACGTTAAAAAACAAGAAAATCGAAAGAGAAAATTAAGTTCATGATCGATATAAGACGGTTCTTTAATGTAGTTTGACTTACTTTTTTGTTGCCGTCCTCTGCAGAGATTAACAACAGTTCGCGAAAGAGCACTCCACATGTCATCGCGAGTTGTTTCGAGCTCGACGCGTTCGGACCATGGCACTTTGAGATACTGGCGTTGCCGAAAGCGTCGTCTACTATCTTGATAACCAGGAGATTACCCAACACGCGTGTGCGCTCCTGCTCTCCAGTTCCTGCTTTTGGCCCAATTTTGCTATATTAATGACCGCTTAACAGTATACTTGTGCTAATCAGCGCATTTTGATGCCAAAGAAGTCAAGACAACAGGTAGATGAAAATTAATTAGTGACGTCAGCCGCAACGGCTGGTGTTCATTATCAACAATCCTCTTTTATGAGAAAATGTATGAATTTGTTTTGTTGTTTCGCGTAAGCACTCTAGATTAGCTGAAAAGCCTATAAGCGCCACATAAAATACTGAGGGTTTTAACGGCGAGCGATACAGGGAGTACCGATACGAAATTCATTAGTTGAGATACCGAAATACCACCTACTTTTCAGCATTACGGATGGACGACCACTAAACAAAATGAACGATTAAATAATGGTATCAACTTTTGTCAACTTATTAATTGCAGCGGCAGTAAAATTAAGAGATAAGAAATTCTATTTATTATTTTTTATGTACATGGATTACTGAAAAAGGGCACTTTATAATTAAAGTTTAGTAGAAAAAGCAGTACAGTTACAAATTTTAGATTTCTACGTGATATATGTATTTTTACTTCACGAGCGTAAGCTAAGGAAGTATAGTAATCGAGTCCAGGCCTTGTAACGTTTATTTGCAATATAAGAATTCTAATTATAACTAAATGAAGTATGTAAGAAAATGCTGTTTACAGTCTTTGTATTTTAGCTATAATTTTTATTAAACCAATTGATTATTATTAAATGTTTTTCAAAACTTTCCATTAGAAATGATTCGCGCTTGTCACACAACACATGTTTTAAAATTGAAAACGATCTTTCAAGATCGACAGAGGTTATTGGAACAAATTTTAAATTCTCTATTATATCTGGATCTATATCCACGTTTACAAATTCTCCTCCCAAAATTTTACTCACGAGCGGCAAGGTATTAAAACCTAAATTTTTTCCTAAAAGAGACTTAAATTTCTGAAAAAAATTTGCACCTGTTTGTTACCTTGAATATTGTATAGTTTTTGAAAATAATTTGTTACTAACTGAATGGAATCTACCAGTGCTAAATTGTTGCATTCAAGTTTTAAAATTGTATCAGCAACTATGGAAAAATTAGTTGAAATAAATGACAGTTCGGTTTTAGCAAAAATTATTTTAAATTCTTTAATAGAAGGAGCATCGTCTGACAGCTCTTTAACAAAATTTTTAATAATTGCATTGTAGTTTTTGGTTCCTCGCCTAGTTACAACAGGTTATGGAGGTAACGGTAAATTGGGCAATGCATTTGAATAAAATTGTACTGTCAAAGGTGATTTAACAAAAAACTGTTTTAACATTATTGACTAAATTATTTACTATCACGTCGATTAACCACTTAGGATTCATTCGAAATATTTTAAAATTTATTTATTTTTTATTTCTACGTACTAAAATGTACACAACTCTATTTAAATGACAATTTCCTGAAATAAATTTTAACAAAAAAACCTCAAAGGGCCATTTACGTTAATTTGTGAATTTTTATAGGGGCTTCGACCAAAAGATTGTAATATTAATATGTTTTTGCGAAATAATCCTTGAAATTTTATCAACGAAATGGGTTTTAATTCGTTCCAGTATAAAAAACTTCATTTTAGTTGCATATTAATGGTCAGTTCGCCTACCTTTCCTTTTGAAAATAATCAATCGAATTAGGTTGCTGACATCGTTAATTTTCAGATAGCTTTAAATATAGTCTCACTGATGTAAGAAGTGTAAAAATTGAAGTACGGTTTTGATTGTTTCCAATGGCATGCATATTTTGCCACACTTTTTTTAATTTCTAATTTTTGTAAAATAAATTCAACAATACAGCAACAATTTGGTTAACATAATTTTATAACCAGATGTTTGAAAATAGGTTTTTGCTATCTATAAGATCGCAAATGTTTGCAAATTATCATTTAAAAAAATTATATAATTTCTAGATTTATTTTTTTACTGTTGTGTTAACCCAAACATCCCGTCATGAGGCTGTATTTACATCTATCATAACTACAACACTCGTATTTCTGAAGATTACTTCCATTCTCACAAAGCTAGACCGTCCGTTCGTGGCCGCGAAGATCGGGCACTGCAGATAAACATCCACATGAACAATCATAATGAGAAAAAACTTTACATTTGGGTACAGACCCTCCACACGATATCGTACAAGGAAGGAAACCAGTACATTTTAATTATGCAACAGTTTATCAAGAATTTCAAACAACAAAGTTTTTACATGATATCAAATTATGGATTAATTAAAGTTAATCATAAAATCAGAGTTTTTACCCTAGAGATCCAGATTATTGAAAAAAAAAAAAAATTAAAATTGAATTACAATATTTTACAATTTAACTTTGAAATTGCAAAACCTAATGCTCAGAAACGGTGCAAACGTTTTAAGGTTATCGGAATGATGGTAATTGTTAATCAAAATTGGTGAAAAGAAACCAGGCATGGTTCTGCGAACGTGAGAAATGCTATCTAAGCTCACCTTATTTTCCTGAAAATGTGAGTATACAGTGATGTTATAATTAGCATTAAACTGCATCTATATATTCAAACTGATATACATTTCCTTGATAAAATGCTGATGATAACAAAATTTTGTTACAGAAAAACTCACTTGAAATGTGCACATAACATGCTCTTCTTACCTGTACGTTAACAGTCCACACATGCCTTTATTTTAATTTATAGGCTTTATCATTAAAAAATTAACAAAATTAAATGTTATAATTTTTCAAAGAAGCGCATATTCGACTATACTTCATACACGAGGGAAGTTTTTTCGAGATAACCCTCGCCCATTTTTTTTATAAACATAAGTCCTAATAAATTAATATTTGACGTTAGTTATGTTAACTTCAATGTTAATTTTTTTATTCTATCTCAGTGTCTTGATTCATTTCTGTTAAAATAATGTAATGATTTTACTTCCTGAACGTAAGCTCAGTATTAAAGTCCATCGAGAGACTGGCTACTTTCATGTTTTCTCGATGTTTCATGACCCCTAAAATATAAAAAAATTAGTCTTCCGTTTCGTCTGTGTGTGTTTGTCTGTGTCAATTTTTATTGGGCATATAATCTTCGATCATCTCCACCTACAATTTAATGCGTCCCTTCCAAAATGTTTCTGAGTAAACACCATTTAAATTTTAAATAGTCACGGTACTTGAGTACGCGAGTGTTCGTATCGTGCTTCTGGTTTACTAGTGTTTTTGTGAGTTTATAGGCTTAATTAAATCCTGGGAACTGCTGAATTCCTCTTTAGGTTTGGCAACCAACCAGAGAGACAAATTTTCAAATTCCTATTGCAAACTTGGTAAGATCTTCCCTTATTACTACGTTAAATTTTAAAGTTCTTAATCTTTTTCGGCCCCTTATCAACTGCATTGTCGGTTCTTTTCTGCTTTTTTTCTTTTTTTTATGGCCAGCAGCCGGTCTTCGCTTGTGTAGGCGGCTCGCTGACCCACCAAAAACAAATCTTTTAAGTCCAAACATTCTGTTTTCTTTTTCCCTAATACTTCAGCAATATCATGCTGCCCATTTGTGGAAAGTGCCATGCGGCCATCAAAAGCGGTCGGCTGGTTTCACTGTGTTACCTAACTTGTTCCGGCACATGCGGCAAGCAGTATCATTATAAATGTGCTGATGTTCCGGAAAGTCTGCACGAGCATCTTCAATCTGTTCCTGGCCTAAACTGGAAATGTCCGGAATGTGTCAAAAAGTGTTTCTGTCTTGACTCGGATTCGCTAAATGAATTTCTCGGAGCAAAATTTGACGAATTAGTCGGCAATCTAAAAGATATATTTTCGAATTTAAAAAGTTAATTGAGAGCGCTGAGCGTCAGATAAAGGATACACTTCCGGAATGTAAACCACCTGTACCTTCTTTTTCTGCAATTTTAAAAAACAAAACAAAGCCAGCAATAGTTATTCAGCCAAAAAATCCAGAACAAGATTTCAACAAAACTAAGTCCGACATTGCATCCAACATAGACCCTCTCAACGCGAATATTCAGTTAGAAAAAGTTCTGAGCACAAAAAACGGAGGTATACTTGTCCGATGTTCTTCTGTTGAGCAAAACTCCCGTTTCAAACTGTTAGCCCAAGAAAAACTCGCGGCAACTTATGTAATAAGAGAAATCAAAGGAGTCTCCCCCCGAGTTAAACTAGTTGGTTTCTCACAGGCATTTGAGGAAGCTGAGTGGAATGACCTTGCTGACCACATGCTGAAGGTAAATAGCTCTATCTTTAGCCCTAAGTCAACATGCGAAACTCTGAAATTCTGGCCCACTAAAAAAAAACCGAAAGTATATCAAGCCCTCCTGCAAATTGATAAAACTTCGTATGATAGATTAATGGCTGCTGGTGGCTTGTTTGCTGGTTACGATTACTGTTCGGCGTTTGAAGGCTTAGAAGCAAATAGATGCTTTAATTGCAACAACTTCGGTCACTCTTCTCGTGTATGTAAAAATAAAGTAACATGTCCCAAATGCAGCTGCGAACACGAACTCAGAAACTGCACATCAGAACATTTGAAGTGTATCAACTGCGTTCGTCTAAATGAAAAAAACAACAGTCTTGTCGACACTAATCATGCAGTATGGGATCACTGCTGCCCGGTGTATAAATCAGCTTTTGATAAGCTCAAAGCTGAAATTCTTTCAGCATAGCATATGGGCCAGGAGTCTCTAGGCTGTAACACATATATTCAAGACCACCCTGCCAAAATAATACAGTTTTCAGTAATGTACACTAACATCGCCTCTCTCCTAGCAAAACTTGACTCTATGACTCGCTATATCGAAGATAATAAACCTGATTGTATTCTACTAACGGAAACACGGTTGTCTTCTGATATCTCCGATTCCTTGATTGGGCTTAATGAATACACTTTATACCGCACCGATCGAACGTCGCGAGGGGGAGGTGCTTGCATCTTACTAAAACAAGCGTTATTTAATCAATTTTCTGTAATATGTAACAGCAAAAGATATGGGAATACTGAATTGGTTAGTGTGGACTGTAGTCACAACTCTCAAAATTTTTCATTAGTATGTGTTTACCGACCGCCTGGAAGTCCCCTAGTTGATGATGAATTGCTGTACGATGAAATTAAAAGATTATGTCACCTTCGTTCCAACTTAATCATATTTGGCGATTTTAATTTTCCAAATATTTCCTGGCAAAACGTTCAATCGCAGACCAACGATGACTCTACAGCACAGTTTATTGATATGCTCCATGAAACAAACCTAACACAACTTGTCGCTGCCCCCACTCGTTTTCGCGTTGGACAAGAACCATCTTT